AGTTCTCTCTGTATTCATGTGGGTTTCCTCCAGGTGCTCTGGTGTCCTCCCACAGCACAAACGACATACTGCACTGGTCAGTTAATTGGTTTCTTGGACAACTGGCCCTGGGGTGGGCGTGCGCATGTGTGTTTCCGTGCGTCTGCCCTGTGACGGAGTGGTGACCCGCCCAGGGTACATCCCACTTTGTGCCCTTGCTTCCCGGGATAGGCTCCAGCTCCCCCACAACTCCGAACTGGATTAGAAGTGGTGAGAAAATGGATGGATATAACAATTGTTCAGTACACTACTAAGACACCATCATGAATGTGATGTATAGTTTTGGTCATTATGTTTGAAAAAATATATTGCTTCCCTGGAGTCAGTCCAGAGAGGAGCACCCAGATACATCCCCAGGCTGAACAGCATGTCCTACACTGATAGGCTAAATGTTTGTATGTCTTAGTGTGGAACAGAGACTACAAGGAATCAAAGAATTCAAAATACTGAAAGGCAACAACAAAGTCAACCCAATGGACTCAACAGTGAAATATGAACTGGACGACAGCGTGTGGAAGTCCATTTACAACTGAGAGCAGGGAGTACCTCTTTACAGAAGGGTTTGGGGAAAATGGAATGAGCTACCCAACCAAGTTGAAGCCAATACCCTGTTTTTTTTCAGGAAATGGCTCGATCAGATTATTGGATCAATTAGTTACTAACTACCAATTGGTCTAAACAAGCTGAATAGCCTCTTGTCATTTGTAAATTTTATTATGTTTCTGATCAATAAATACTTAAAGCATCTGATCTTCGGAACTTTTTGTTCTCTTGGCTGGCACCCAATAGATTTGTTTTCCTTGCATAAATAATTGTTTTATAGTCTCATAATAATCATTTTATTATTGACTGAGGTTTTGAAGTTTTATTTGGGATTTGTTAAGAGTCCTTTGAAACTACCCACCAACTGGAAGTCTATCACTAAGTTGAAACTGGAACATGGGACAGCCTAGGAGGTCAGAAGCAAGACAATGCCAGTAAGTTTCACCTTGCTACTGACAAAAGCTCCAGCAATCTGGCCTTCTCTTTCAGGACTCAAACCTAACAGACATTTTTGAGCATTGTAAGAAAGGAAGTGAAATTCAGGGACAGAGAGCTATTTGTTTTTTTTACATTTGAGAGAAGATTTCCTTTTATTGCCAGACAATCAGCACTTCAGTCTCTGAGATGCATGACCTGGCTCAAGAAACACAATTTAAAACCAGTTTTAAAGACCTGTGGAGGGTCTTTTGCAGTGTGTGTCATTTATGATTGAAGTCAGTTTGGACTGTAGCAGGCCTGGAGTCAGAGTCTTGTAGTCTTTTTTATTCCTGACTATTAGTGGTGTTTTAGCTGGTATTTTGGTGTCAATATCTTAACATTTTTAAATTTGAAAAACACCTCCTATTTTATAACAACAGGCGACAGCCTAATTTCTATCAATTGCTGTCGCTGTGAGATATATCACAATTGGATTCCTGCAGATGCACCATACTTATTTTTTTAGAATATTGTACTTTAAAAATGTTCAAAATAAAACTTACTTCAGAAAAAATACCTACAACAGGATCCTTTTCATAACCTGACATCACTAATCACATTCAATGTAGAACTTAAATCAGACCATTTAACCCCAATAGAATTGTGAGTGGTTTGCAGGCAAAAAAACAGTATTCAGTACAGTGATTCATTATGTGAATTATTCACAAGATATTAAGTCCAGATAAATAGGCTAAGCTTTGGACATTCTCTCTGATCTGGCAAATTAATTGTCAGCGTTGAGATAAAACAATTGCCGGGGAATCGGCACAAGCAGATTAATCTCTCAAAGCCAATGAAGTGTAAACTAATATAATAGGAACAAATAGATACAGCCACTCTGCACTGCGAATTTGGAAGTATACTGTATATCAGGGAGTCAGGTGTTGAGAAGTACAAAACTGAGAGACAGGTCTGCAATTGCAAGCTTGATTATCTAAAGTTCTGCAAGTAGAAACTCCTACACAGTGGCGTTTTAGTAATTACAGAAACAGGACATTCTGATTTTAAGATACTGTAATACTTTACATTGCTCTGAGCCTGTTTAGAACATACAGTATAATTGTGGTACCCATTGTTCACAGGTTCAACACACAGTACTGGATGAAATCTGTTTGTGTTTCTTACCTACAGTAATACCATAGTGAATAAATCTAGAAGGAAAATACAAGATTTATTATTTTTCCTGTAATGTTTATCCATGAATTGGATATGCTGGGTGCATAGCTGGTGGGAGTTTAAATGCCAAGTTTCTCCCACACCACTGGGCTGCTCAGACAAACAATATATTTTTTAAAAACCAAGCAATCATATCCTCAGTGGAAGTACTTGTCAAAAAGAATCCTTACAAAAATATTTTTCCATGTGGTGATGTATGTGAAAACAGTCCTTGCTCCTTATTTGACAGATTAAGTTAAGACAGTAGTAGGTTAGTGGTTGCCATAACAGGAAACATTCTGATAATTTAAAAAGCCTTTTAACTCCTTCAGCAACAGTACAGTCAGAAATAGTATTGGAAAGCTCAATTGCCATATCAGCTGTGTACTGTATGTTGCTGTTTTATAGTATGTAACTGGCAGCTCTCACAACATTTTGTTTGCACTACTTGTAGGGTCAGAGTTTTAATTTCTGCTTAATTATATCTTAGAAGACAATCAGCCCTGAACCTGGGAGTTAGATGACAGTCAATAGGTGAAAGAATACCTAGAGCACGTGCCACTGAAATTGACAGAAAGGGAAGGAGAAACAAAAAGACATTTATGTGGATTTATGACTGTAATCTGTAGTTTATATCTTTCATTCATTTCCACGTGTCCCCAGTTTGAATGCCACCTACAAACATATTTACACATACATATATCATACAAATCAGCATCTCTTGCTGTGATATTAACACATTCCAACATACCCAAGTGGAATGAAAGTCTGGAATAGCCCAAGTGAAACTCTGAAGCAGATGGTCCTGACAGTGGGTTGCAAATTGTCTGCACTACACACAAGCTGATGGATACAGCCATCTGCGCACTCCCTGAATTAAACTTGGGCAGATAACCTCATATCTGGCAGTGCAATGAGATGATAGCTCCTAAGGCCAATAATTTATCTGGCCATTAATTTATTGGCTAAGGCCTTTCTACTGAATCCCCTAGAAATGTATCAGCAAATGTGCTTGCCAGCACAGGAGCATACATACTGTATAGTACCTGCAGGGAAAGCAGACAGTATTGAGTGCTTTGCGCCTGGGAGCTACTGCGCATTATATAACATTAAGTTACCTGACAGAGCAAAGTGGGCACTGCATGTTTACTCTCAATTTACAAAGCTTGTATACCTACGTTAACATCCTATCAGTCCAATGTCTTAAATATAAATTTAAAAGATCGCAAACCAATCAGTTAAAATAAAAAACTGAGCCAAACCAAGAAATATTATGATTTTAAATAAATATTATTTATTCATCAACTATTAGTAAATGTTTTTTCAGAGTTATTAAAATCAGCTTATAACAACACAATTAAAAATTGGAAAGTATAAACAAATTAACCTGACAATTTTTGAACTATTTGAATGGAAACATTATTAAAAAGAGACTTCTTGTTTTCATTAAAATTCAATACACTGAACTGAAACTGCAGTGGCAAGAACTGTAGTTCATGATTACTTCACAGCAAACAGAAACATTTTCCTTATCACACTCATCTTAAATTAAAATGATAACATATTTATAGTCTTTACCACATTATTTTCAAAACTGAGTCTTTTTCAGGGGAAATAAAAGCTTTATGTGAGACAGCACAAGCAATTAAAAATATAAGCAAATGACATGTGACCAGTATCTCCCTTTTCTCTCCATAGTACTGGGTCTGTTAGTTATTACTAAACACCCACAAACTATAAGGGTGAAAAAAATTAAAATACTGTACAGTTTCTCTCCTCTCTGGAGGACACCTAGCAGACAACTGCAAATGAGACTAGGTGTCCAAAGATGCAAAGTCCAGATTACCTTAAAAATATTTAAAGAAGTCTCTAACAAGTATAATGTTCAGGTAATGACCTATGTACAGTAGGAAGTAAAGGAACAAGTTATAGGTTTATTCCATGCTGAAAAAAGAAGAAAGAAAACACAACGTTTCGGCAGTGGAGCCTTCTTCAGGTGTGTCATGTAGGAAATATTTCAAATTACTATTCAGAGCTTCCTGCAGAAGACGTGAAGCTTAAAAGCTCTCTTGTGAACTGCAAGAAACACATGTAAGATCGAAAATCTAGGAGTACAAATGGATTTAAAGATGAAAGTAAGAAATAAACAGCGGTTGTCTGAGGTGAGCTGTAAGGAGATTAAAATGCTGTTTTGATCAGAGAAGCAATTAGAATGTTAAGAAATAGTCAGCAGATGAGGAAAAAAAGGCTGACTACAGTTTCTATGTCTAAATGAGCTGGCTGAGACTGACAGTGCCAGACATTTTGGTAGTGTGAGCAAGTGTACCAAAAGGCTTAGAAGTTAAGACCCATTTGAACTGCTTTCCTTTAAGAAAACTGTAGGTATTCTCTGGATTTTTAAACTTACTTGTAGGCGGAACTGGTTTGGAAGACCAACAATACCATGCCAAAATAATCTTGGAGTTTTCTCCTGTTTCCCTGATCTCCAGGATTCACAGGTGCTTCCATGCATGAGTATAGACCACACACCTTGTCTCTGAAGATACATCTCTGCACTTCTCTGACATACCAAAAATCAGAATTAGCCTGTTCTTTTTTCTTTATAGAATAAATGCTCAAACATAGAGAAAGTGAACTCAGTGGAGTTATTTCAGGAAAACCTGTGATTTTCTCAGTGTAATTCACTCTCTTTGGCGCCTTATCACATAGTGCTCTGAAACGCAGTGTGAAAGTCCTTGCTGCTGCTGTGACATGATTTTCCTCCTCCCTCTCTCTGTCTCACTCACCTTTCAAGGTCATTTATTACTCTGCTAAATGTTCGGAAGCCCCTGCTCCAGCAGCAGTACAGCGTCTGGAGCTGCTCAGTAGTGGTGGCTAGATCAGGAGGCGGCCCCACTGCAGGAAGACACAGGAGAGAAAGTAGCTGTTATAGACCACGCCGACAGCAAGCAAAACTGTCAGAGAACACCTCTTTTTTTTACAATCTAGATGGAGGGGAAAATAAATTCTTCATTGCACACGATGTGTGGAAATAATCTGAATGTAAAGGTTATTTTAATCTTTTAGTCTTAGCTTAATTCCCCTTGGAGGTGAAAGGGACAGATGGTATTGTTGATGAATGAATGACTGCAGTATTTCTCTTGCAATGCTGATTGGAAATATGTGTCCAATATATTTTATATTGGGGTTCTAGACATCACCTAGTAATAGCTTATTCAAAAAACAATATAAGGGTTGGAGAAATCAGGCTGATATCAGCATAAAATCACCGCAATTAAGCACTTTTTACATATTATATCCTCACACTAAGTGATAATGATTGCAAATATGTAATATTCTAAACTTTCCACAATCCTTTTCAAGTCTAGCAATCTAGCACCTGCATTTTTCAAGAAATGCTACACAGTAAGAAGGTAACTCTCAGTCTATTTCAAGGTCTACTTTACTGAAAAGTATTTCCCAGCTAAGAGAGAGGACAGTGTAACAAATGCTTTGTTATGCAGATTCATATGACGAAAAACTGGGTTAAATATGGTCTCTATGACAGTTCTGTATGCCATTTCTAAGTATTGCTTGTACCTGTGACCCATGCACTCTACAGACTTACTGTAGCTCCGCAAAGTATATACACATATACACATGCTGTTAAACCTACATGTATGTATATTCAGTGGAGATCAGATCATGGAGATTCTATTTATACCTTGAAAAGCTTCAACTTTTCTCAGCAAAATGTTTTAAACCAAGCTGATATGATGCAACGTTCATTTTCATGTAACAGATGCTCCAGTGTCCCACCTCACACTCAACATGCCTTGTTTTGGTTGTGTTTTGATGCAATGATTGACAGTTTACAGCATACATCTGGAAATATCTGGTGCTCAGAGTCTAACCTAGATCTACAGAAACACGAGAGATTACATTCAAGGAGATCAGATGGCTTCTGCACATTTCCTGCCAGTGGGATATGTTTTCAATTAAGTACTCGGTAGTAATCAAAATATACAATACTGTATATCAAAAACAAAAATGTTGTGAGCAATCCTGCTATTTGGCAATATTCTGTCTAGGTAACACATCTCCATAACCTTAAATTGACAATTAATTTCTGCAAACTAATATTATAGTCAGAAGCCCAGAAAATAACGATTTTAAATATGCAATGATTTTAAGATTTACAGTGCAGTGCCTGATTAAGACACATCAAATTAGAATTTATTTTACCTTTATTTTCACATTTTAACACATCTTCCAATTAAAATACAAAAATAAAAATAAAATAAATAAAATATGCTTAATCATTCTGGAAATTAATTATAAATGAAAACCTAGACAAATGGATTGCATACAGTATGTGTACAAACCCCTAAATACTTGCGTCTTGATATCAGGCTGTTAAGGCCACAAAATGTGTTACTTTGGAAAGGGTTTGAAGACCTTTAAAGATTGCAAGGTTTCCTTTAATATCACAAAACAAGGAATCAATGAAGAATCACACATTATAAAGGCCCCATTATATGAGATCTCACATTTTGAAAACGCTGCACATAAATCAACTGCATCACAATATCTGATATCAGCCTGGAGTCATCCAACCATCCATTTTCTAAACGCTGCATCCAATCCAGGTCACAGGTGCGCCGCAGCCTAGACCAGCAAGCATCTTAAGACACTGTGCCATTTAATTTGGAAAGGAAAACAGAAGCTGCCTTTCTAATGACAGTGAAGCAAGTGCTGTAGCTACTATCTGCCAGATAATAATAACAAAATTGTTGTTAAAAATGTAATCCAGTTATAGTAGATGTGAGGTGAGCAAACTGAAGTCTGTAATATCCAGGGACCTCTCTTAAATTAAAACCCTTACTTCAGACAATCAATACAGCAGTTATAACGTCTGTAAGAACTCGGTGCCCTGAGTTTTGTTGCATCCACCTGTCTCACAATTAGGAGATCTGTCAGCCAGCCACCTACTCTAAAATAACAAGAGTTTGTAGCAGGACCATTGTAACCTGTTGCCCTTTGGTTAGTATGTAGTCTTTATGAAGTCTGAGGAAGTGCAAAACAGTAATGTCACTGGATTCCAAGGCTGTGCCAATCTTTTTATTTCCCAGTAGAAAGTTTTTTCAGCGCTTTTAATGAACTGAAACTGAGATGCAGTTAATGATATGGGCAAAGCCGTCTCTGCAATGCTGTTTTAAGATAGGAGATAAATCTGTTTGAGACAAACCTGCAAATGGTGTCACACTGGCTACTTCAGTGAGGGTGTCACAGGCCAAAAGGCACTGGAAAAAAAAGGCAATCTGACAAAGGCAATCGCACGCGAGCACTTCAGTGCAAAAGTGTTTATTTTAGCGGTTTCCTTCCACAAATCCAGGCCCAATATACTGTATCGTAAACCAGACAAATTTAATAAAGTAAAAAAGAATTGCAAACAGTAATACATAATGCAGTGCCCATTCATAACAAGGGTGATGAAACTGAACCAAGAAATTATAGACTAGTAGGTCTACTCCAGTACTTCTTATGAAAATAATTATAATAAAACTAAAGGATCACCTATAAAGAAATCGAATGGGTTAACTTAGAGTTCTTTGAAGACGCACCAGCCGTTATGGACATACACACAGCAAACGATAAGGTATATTCAGATTTTCAGAAGACATTTGATACAGTTCCCCTCAAACTGGAAGAAAACAGCCATTCGAAATAATGCATGTGTTTGGATGGAAAACTGCCAAAAACATAGAAAATTAATGTACAGACAGAGAGCGCTGATAAGGGTAAATGCTCACATTGGGGTGATTTAATATTGGAGTACAGGGTAAGTATTAAATTCACTGCTTTCCTAATTTATATTATAGTGAGTAATCTAATGATTACTAACTACAGATGCTACAAAAATCGTTGGATAAGTAAACACTGCAGAAACTGTAAAGCAAATTAAAAAAGAATTAAGTGGAATTTAAGACTGGGTTAACATTTGGCAGAGGAGCTTCAATGTAGGTAGCGCTTAAGAGTGTTACATGCAGGTGGCAAAAATACAAACTATGGAAGATCACACAGAAACAAGGAAAAAGTTTAAAGAATCCATCTATGTAAAACACAAGGTTTAGTGCAACATACTGTATATTATCTAGACAGTGTAGGAAAGCAATAAAAAGGCCAAAAAAATGTTAGGATACAGTAGTTTTAATGGCAGAATGTAAATCAAGCAATGATATTTTAAAATTTGGACAGCACACTAGTAAGACATGGTTTAGATTTAATTTTGTTCCCCATGTTATGAAAACTTTGGAATCAATCCAGAAAAGAGCAACCAGATTCCCATTCTTTAAGGCATTTCTTAAAAATCAACACAAGAATTTCTGAACACAAGCTGAACACAAATCAGAAAACACAAGCAAAAACGACTGCATGTGAAAGTAGTTTTAAAACCGGGACCAGGTGGCAACTTCATTTGCAAGGGGCTGTGAGAGTCTAAAAAAGGTTGTGCTGTTGAAGCAGATACTCTGGCTTCTGTCAAGAAACAACTGGATGAGTCTGCACAAACAACTACCGATAACCAAATAAGTGAGATGACCCGGAAGGCTTTCTCTCAACTGTAATCTTTTATATTCATATACCATTGGTCTGTCTCCTTTGTGGCACTTTAAAACTCGAGAGTATTTCTCCTAGGCAATTCAAGATATTTTAGCCTGAGCAATCTGGCAATCCGCTTCCAGTAAATTATCACAGCCACTGTCAAGGACGAGTCTCCTTTATTCTTTATGGTTTTCAAGGCTACTATACAGTAAGCAGCACAAAGCACATAGTCCTGCCTTTGGCCTTGGGTTGGAAATTAGATATGAGATTAGAATAACCTGAAAAGACTCCTGCTGAAATTATATCAAACGAAAATCACTGCTCAGAGTACAGTAGATGCTCAGTTTCCTAACTTGGACTGGTCATGGGCCACACACCATTTGCCCCTGGCTTTTTTGACTTTTAAGATTGTCACAAAAGGATCTGATTTTGGTTAACAGTCTTTTCAGCTGGTGATAAAGAGGTTTTAAGTGAACATAATTTGATAATGAACCTTGCATCTTGATGCTTTCTTACACCTCAAAACAACCAAGAGCTCATCTGGTTTAATAACATGATAGAAAGAGAAACAGTGGCCAATCACAATGAATGGGCTACTGCACAACACGGTATTGTATAAGATGGTCATATTATGGCTTCCTATCACTCAGTACTTTTTTGTCTAATGTCAGCTTGTCAGGACAGACTGCGGCTCCCCCATGACACTGCAGTGGATAAAGTGGTTAGAAAATGAATGGACGTATTGACAATACTGTCATATACCCAGACAATTTTCTTACGGGGTTCAAGTAAATGTTAAGCATAACGTGCTTCTCACCTAGGGCTTATTTCTGTGTTCTGAATGTAAATTTCTATTCATCTAATGTTCAGAAAACATAGTGCAACATACCAAATATTATAAATCACACGCAAAAAATAAACTACAAAATCTACACCTCTCACTTTGTGCATATCTTATACTTATTTACTTTCTCCTACTATAGGAGGACTATTACAGTATACTGATGAAAAGAAAGCCATCCAGTTAACCTGTCCAAGTGCTTTATAACAAGCTTATATGTCATTTGAAGTTTTCATTTGCAGTACATTATCACATATAAACGTAGCTAAGCAACTTAAATGAAATCTTCATGGTATGGCATGACAAATTTACTGATGGGAACATCATCTTTTGCAGTAGACTAAGCCCTAAGCCAATATTCAATACAAATCTTAAATTCTACACTTACATTTCCTGTGCTCTTTAGTGCTTCATACTGTAAAGCAGTTTCATTAACAGTGCTACTTTATTATTTTCTGTATTCAATGCAGTT